CAAGGGCCTTGCTTTAGAGAGGTCGCCATCTTGCGCCGCCATGTATGTACGGCAGCCTGAGCGGACAATCCAGCCAGCCAGAGAACACGTTTCGCGTGTATAAATAAACCAACGAAGACAGCGGAAGGAAGGAAGAAGGAGGAGGAAACAGCAGAGAGTGTTAGTAGTTCGTCGATGGAGAGTAGTGAAAAGTTTTTTTAGTTATAAAGTTTGTGAATGGACCACACTTACCACGCAACAGGAGAGAATGAACCTGAACCGTTATCTGTGAGGAAAAGAAGACACAACTTCACTCCTTGTGATGCACTCTCTGTGGCGCTTTTGCTCCTGATGATATATCTCCCCAGCGATGGGAGCACCGAATCCCATTCTGTGCAGCAAAATGGGAGCGGAGGATTCAGCCTCTCTTCTCGCCCGCTCAGCATCCAACACATGGAGTTCCTCATCTGTATACTCCGGCTCAAACAGGTATGGCTCTGGATCTGTGTCCGCTACAAAAAACTCTTCAAAATCGCATTCAAAGTCGTCCATTGCAGCTACTATAGTCCAGAGATATTGCTAGGCTAAATAAACAGCTGAGTTTTGTTTACAGGTTACGTCTGTGCCTGCTCACCGGTGTATCCCTCCGCGGATCACAGCGCAGGACGTACTGAAAATTTATAGGATAGCAGTAACTTTACTCCTATGTACCCTGCTGATTGGATTCAGTACAGCTAAAACCACTGTTTATTACTGAACAGTACAGGTTACTGTTGGCCGTAACTACGCCAAAACAACCAACAAACAACAACTTAGCTGTAACTCCAACTGTGCACTCCTGCTCTCTCCTCCAGCTCGCTCATACACACACCAGCAAGCGCACTCACACAGCTCTCATCCCCGTCACACTCGCAACCCGCCCCCCTACCTATACTCATTCAATCCCAAACATGCCATTAACTCACAGAACATTGACATTATAACAGAACATTTACTGCAGGGTCACTACAATATTGTAGCGTAAGCTGTCAGTCAGTGTGCGGGCTGGAGATTGGTGGAGCAGAGAGGGGAGGGCTGCCCCGCTGGGTACTGTAAGTGAGTATGTGTGTATGAAGTGTGTGTGTTACGCTAGAAGAGTCAGAGTTTGGGACGGAGTCTTTTACGTGCTACCCCCTGGAGTGTTACCGGAGTTTTTTGAGTGCTCAAATAAACGGGCCTTTTCCCCAAACGCTACTCTGGTCTCCTGCTCGTGAGTGATTCATTACAATATCGTAACATGGTTTAGATTTCTAAATAAATATTCACCTCGTCGCTAGATAGACCTACTCCTGAAAAACTCGTGTCTGTGCAAGGCTTTTTGTCCCTACGAAGCCACCGTCATTTACCCGACGGGAGGAGTGAGCGAGTGAGCCCTGCAATCTAGAATTTGACCACTGGTGTCACTGTTTTCAACGGTTTTCAACCCATTTTACACACTGGCCCTTTAATCCATCCCATCAATAAATGATTGCAAGAATGGTAACACCAACAAGGAGGAAAAAAACAACAGAAAAAAACAAAAAAAACAAAACGGAAATGTATCCATCAAGAAAACGAATAGTCAATAATTAACAAATGAAACATAGATAAGAGTCACAATACACATTATGTATCCGATCGTGCACCAATTTTACTATACTTTTCAAGTAGAATATATTTAAACTTCTTTATAAACTGAAAGATGTTCTTACTTTTTTTTCAGTTTGTCCTGTAAACTATTCCATAACTTCACCCCAGTGACGGAAATACACATACTTTTAAGAGTTGTACGAACTTTAGGTTGTCGGAAAATAAATTCACCTCTTAAATCATATTGCCTATCTCTGCCAACAATCATTTTTTGTAGTTTACTAGGGAGTAAATAATTTCTTGCCTTATATACTACCTGTGCTGTTTTAAGATCCACTATGTCAGGGAACTTTAATACCCTTAATTTAGAAAACAGTATATTGGTGTGATGGTTGAACCCTACGTTATTTACAATTCTTATTGCCTTTTTCTGCATAGTAATAATAGGTTGTAGGTTGCTTTTGTATGTGTTTCCCCACATCTCAGCACAACATGTCAGGTATGGTAAAATGAGGGTACAGTACAGTGTGTGCAATGTTTTGTGGTTTAATATGTGTCTGATCTTACCTAAAATGCCAGTACTCCTTGCCATCTTCAACCTGACATGGTCTATATGGGTTTTCCAGTTAAGTTTGTGATCTATTTTCACTCCCAGAAAAGTATAATCATAAACTCTTTCAAGGCTAAAGCTGTCTATACTTACTTCTACCTGTATGTTAGGGTGAACTGGTCTGTTTCCAAATAAAATAAACCTTGATTTATTAACATTCAGAGAAAGTTTGTTGTTATCAAACTTTCAAGCTATTGGGGGATGTCACAACTGAACTAGGGAAATCCCCCAATAGCTGTTGTAAGTGCTCGCCAGAACAGAACATATTAGTGTCATCAGCAAAAATGACAAATTTAAGAATATTACAGACATTAACTATATCGTTTATGTATAATATAAATAATTTTGGACCAAGTATTGATCCCTGTGGGACGCCACAAGTGATATCTAAGCATGCCGACCTATACTCACCCAACTGCACAAATTGTTGTCTATTTTCAATATAGCTTTTTACCCAACTAAGCCCCACCCCCCAATACCATACCGTTCCAACTTTTCTAATATAATTTCGTGATTTATTGTATCAAATGCTTTCTTTAGTGCCAGTGAAGTGGATCTGTTGCTTCTAAAGCCATATTGGCTATATATTAATAAATTGTGTTTATCTATGAAACTGTCCAACCTTGCAACAAATAATTTTTCTAGGATGGAAAATACAGGAATAGTTTTTGTAGTATGTTAGCACACCAATAAACCACTGCAATGTCAAACATTAAACTGTTTAGTAGTGTTGCATAGTAATTTGAAGGGAAAAGGAATTTTCTAGGGCAACTGGGCTTTTTTTGGTCTAGAAACAGATTATTTTGCCATGTAACTGGTGGTTGAAAACTATGCATTTACTATTGTTTGGGCATTGACTCCTTATACTTTTCTGTAAATGTCCCACAATCAAAATAGTTTGGTCTATACAGTCAGCACAGTTTCAAGATAGGCACCCAAGATTAGTGTCACCAATTCAGGACCTTTGACCTTTTAGATATAAAATCATTTTATCTTATTAGACATTTGTGTGAAACTTTGTCATAACTAGCGTATGAATTGAGTTACGGCCAGAAGCATGTTTTGTGAGGTCATAGTGACATCTGACCACCAACCTTGAATCAGTTCATCACTGGGTCGGTGTGGATATTTGTGCCAAATATGAGGAAATTCTCTCAAGGCCTTATTGAGATATCACATTCACGAGAATGAGATGTGAGGTCACAGTGACCTTCGGACACCAAAATTTAATCAGTTCATTGTTGAATCTAAATGGACATTTGTGCCAAATTAGAAGAAATTCTGTATCATTGTTTTTGAGATATTGCATTCATTAAGAGGTTACAGTGACCTTGACCTTTGACCACTAAAACCTTAGCACTTCTCTGAATCCAAGTGGATGTTTTGACAAATTTTAAGAAATTCACTCAAGGCGAAGCATTACAAAAACAGTATTTCAAGTATGTTATGAGTTACACTTAATATTCTCTGAAAAGCACATGAGGGGTTGTGTTTTAGTCCTAGACAAACTGATGTGTGTCTGTCTGATCAGGAAAATGAACGGGACACCCTGCATCGTCACCAAACCATGTCGGGACACCATGACCCGCTTTGGCTGTCCACACTACTCTCTGTCCCACCAGCTGCTCTACTTCATGATTGGAAAAATGGTGAGATGTTTAATTGATTCACCCCAAAATTATTCAATCACTGAAAAGGATTTGTAACCACAGCTTTAGGAAAACATATATAAGATAATTTTTTGGCTAGACAAATGATGATGTCATGGATGTTAAAATATTCAGTGAGAGAAACTTTTCTTGCAGGTGATTAAAAACTTCAGGAACAAGCCTGTATTAATATTGACTAATCATGCTGTGATGCTTTAGATTCTGTTTGAGTGAAAATATATCTACCTATGCATTTAGATTTTTTGCTCACTGGAAAAATGAAACTGCTACACTCCAGCTTCTAAGCCACAACAAAGTTAAAAGGGTCAAAGTATTTGTTTGATTATTAGATAGAGATTCACTTTTTCATTTTTTTTTTTTTTTGCTGAGAGCCAGCCTAATGCCTATGGCACCAGAGCTAGGAGGTGATTAGATAAGCTTAGCATAAAGACTGGAAGCAACTAACCTACCAACACTTCCAAAGCTCACTGATTAAAGGTACCCTGTAAAGTTTTTTTGTAAACTGTTAAAGGCGCTGTATGTAAGAATGTGGAGAAAAACGGTTACTGCACTCAAATTCAAAATACTGCTGCAAGTCATGTCCGCCACCCCTCCCCTATAGATTCGAGGTTGCTGGACAGCGGCATGCTGGAGATTGATTTGTTTGCCCACGGGCAGCTGCCGTGGCAGGGCTGCGTCGCCACGTCCTTGATCTTCAGTTTTCCAGTGGACCGTTCGAGCAAGTCCGGCTTCTCTGCTGCTAACGCTGCTGCCGGGATGCAGCTGAGGAAAAGCCGGCTGCTCATGCTCTTATACAGTCTATGCTCATGCTATGTACTGGGACACTGCTAATGCTGCTTGCCATGCTGCTGTAGCTCAGTCGTAACTGTAACTGATGCTGAGACTCTACTGACTGTGTGACTGGTAGACGGTTGTGGGTGGCGCAACAAGCCAAAACATAAACATGATTTGCGGACTGCAAAATCTTTTTTTAAATGTGAATATTCTGGCTGTACTATTGTTGTCGGTGAGATCAGTATGTTATATGAACATTATTCCTTAGTCTCTGTGACATATTAGGAGGATTCTACGACTATTTGCTTTAGATTTCTTACATATAGCTCCTTTAAAGCAGGGGTGTCAAACTCATTTTAGAGATAATGGGCCAAATACAGCCCAATAAGATCTTAAGTGGGCTGTACCAGTAAGGAAGTAGTGAAGTAGTAGTGTAAGGAAGTACAAGTACATTCTGAAGACATCCATCCATTGACAAAACAGAAAATGAACAGCCTGAGATGTCAGAAAAAAAATAAAAATAAGTGCTTTTTCAACAATAGGTCACAGTTTTTCCACATTCAGTCAGTCTACTACTCACTGTCATTACAAGTGCATTGGTCCATACATTTCTACTCCTCTGTAGTAATCTTGGCATCACAACACTAAACTAAGTAGAACCAGGTGAAGTTATTACGTACATGACAAAACAGTTACCAGAGATGGGACCAAGTCACACATGTGCAAGTCTCAAGTAAGTCTCAAGTCTTAACCTTCAAGTCTCAAGCAAGTCCCAAGTCATTTTTTCTTGGGCAAGTCAAGTCAAGTCAAGTCACAGGTTATGTCAAGTCAAGTCAAGTCCTGTAATAGGTCAAGTCAAGTCCAAGTCAAGTCACCTTATTATTGTAATTTTACCTGGAGAATCTGATCTTAGCTATATATACACCTCATTGACTCAGCTGTTAACCCAAATCAACTTCATATGCTGTTTTTAACTAAAAGTTACTTCATTTTAAAATCTTATTTATTTCATGTACTGTTTTAACATATTTATTCCATTTTAAATTATATTTACTTACTTTGCTAAGTTTTAAACCCATATTTATGTCACGATCTGTTTTTAAGGAATATCTACTTTGTTTACTAGTGTTTTAGCATGTAATAATTACTCAATTTTAAAACCATTACTTCATTTAGTCCATCTCAAACAGTATTCGCTCAACTTTACAACTAACTCAACAGTTACTTGGGTTACTCAGTTTTAACCAAATTTTAGGTGACTTCATTGCTGCAATGTTTACTTTGCAGGGACGACCCCCATGCGCGCGCGAGGGGGCCGAGTCAAGTCTCAAGTCTTTTATTTTTTGTCAAGTCAAGTCACAAGTCATCAAAACAGCGTCTCAAGTCGACTCGAGTCCAAGTCACAATGACTCAAGTCCCCATCTCTGACATTTACAAATCTAAAGTTCTGGCAGTGCCATAGCCACAGGGTTCCACCAATACAGTGTCTGTTACAGCTGCTGATTGACATTAGTGTGCACTATGTTCAGTATCTTTACATATGATCACAATAAGTACTCACTGATTTTACAGAGAACCGTAGCAGCATTGAACATGAAGTAAGTTGCTCACTGTTTAACTTGCTCCTACAACCTGTCACCTCTTAGCCTTGACAAGTGCTTCACTATTTGGTGTGCAAAGTCATCCAGTTGGCCGCATTGGACTCTTTGGCAAGTTAAAGTTATGTTGACATTGTGTGAATCCTTGAGGCCAAAACACACACGGAATGTATTTACTTACATCCGTGTTTGCTCAGAGACGGTTTGGTAATGAGACGCCCATGCTAGATTCTTTTCCTGTATCTCATGGGTTTTATTACTGCTCCTTTAGGAGACTAGCATCAGGTCCTGAGTTTACTGACTCTAATATGAAGTGCATGTGAGCACAGATTATGACCACTTATTTCACCCCATAGTCACTGAAGTAAATACTGGGCCCTCTTTTTAGAAGCCAAACATCTTCCAAACATTCCGAAACTAAAGCAGCATTTTTCAGACAGACACATCAGGAGAAAATAACTTCGTTGGAGACATGTCTCTGTCTCAGCAACACACTCTTGAGAGATCTGATATGATCTCGTACTCGGCTGTTATCACATATTTAGCTTGTAGATAAAAACAAATGGCAAAATGAGGAGCAAACATTAAATTTGTCCTGTATGTAGTGTTGTATTGTTTTAAATGTGCTTTCAAAACAAAGAGGGGGGATGGGGGAGAGAGACGGCTGTGCGCTCTTAGGAGACAGGAAGTGTATACCACTTCATACCATTGGCGCGAAATATGTCAACTTTTGTAATAGAGCATTTTTTGGTTTGCTGGCTCACAGTCCTCTTCATTGCCTTTTCATGTTATCGCCACCAACTATCAGTCAGTCGCATAGCATAAAGGGACTCATTCTTAAAAAAATGCTCTGCAGGGCTGCAAGTGGTGAAGAACCACACCACGTACCTTTAGCCAGACAACAAAACAAAGTGAAGGACATTCAAACTAACAGTGCCCTAAAGGAAAGGAACATCTTTTTATACATACCGGTAGCTACCTCTGAAAATACCTGCACAATGCGCGGAATTCTCAGCAGATGCTAAGATTGAAACACATCAGTAAATTAGCAGGAATAAGCAGAATCATTGTTTTATAACCTCGACTCTACTAAATTTCAGAGACACTGACTGATTTGTGTTTCCCTCTTAGAGAGGCTGCACCAACCTGCTGAAAGGCGACACTCGAGCAACCCGAGCCAACATGACTGAACGCAGCTACGAGAAGATCTTTTGCTCTAACATGATGAAGACCAACCAGGACATCATCAGAGACGGTCTGACCGAGCAGACGGTGGACATCTTCATTGAAAACAGTGAGTTTTAAACAGGTTTCTCTCTTTGGGCTTTAATCTTCTTTTCTATCTTATCTAATAATTTATACTGGTTCCAAAATACATATATTTGCATAATATGTCTGGTAATTTTCATGCTTTACAAAAGTTTAAAAAAGACTTCCACCTCTGTTGGTTCATAAAACCCTTTGGAAAATCTAATAGCAATGTCTTGGTACATGTAACTATTGTTAATCAGATAGGGCTGTAACTAAATATTATTCTGACTGTCCATTAATTCTTCAGTTATAGTCTTGATCAATTAATTGCTTTGTTGATTAAATGCCAAAAAAATTCGAAAAAATGCTGAATGCAAATTTCTTAGAGCCAAAGATGAAGTCTTCAAATGTCTTGTTTTGTCCTACCAACAGTCCAGAACCCAAAAGATTTTCAGTTTTCTGTGATACAACACAGAAAAAAGCAGGAAATTATCCCATTAGAGATGCTGGAAGCAGAGAATATTTGGCATTGTTGATTAAAGCATGAGTGAAAGTATGAACTGATTATCAAGATAGTTCACGTCTGGTTGACAGACTAATCCGGAACACCCTCATACATTACTTCTTCCCAAATTCTTTGTATAAATACTGACCCTTTCCTTTCTTGCCTTTACATTTAGCTTCTCTCTGCTGTGTTTAATTTTTCTTTGCAAGGATTTTTCAAGTTTGACCTTTTCTAACAAATTGTACAAGGGATGGAAAACAGCCAAAGTCAACCTATGGGACAAAAATATTTTTAGTAACTTCCAGTGGAAATTGACTTAAAGGTCTAGTGTGTAGGATTCATTAGCATCTAGTGGTGAGGTGCAGACCTGAAACATGTGCCTAGCGTGTAGGAGAACTACAGTGGCTGATTTGAAAAAAGGAAATGGGAATGGCCTTATCAAGAGCCAGTGTTTGGTTTGTCTGTTCTGTGCTACTGTAGAAAGAACATGGGTTAGTTCAGGCAGGACATGATATCAAGCTCAGCTCACATTTCAGCTACATCAGCTGATTTCAAACAGCCAATCAACTGATGGAGCAGCTGATTGATGGAAGGGAGTCAGCTGATAGGTCACATGATTCCTTTCTATGCAACCAATTGGCAAATCTCATTCAGGGCGCCCTATCTAAACTGCTGTAGACTGCCTTCTGTTGCTGCTTCTTCTGCAAGCTGCTTTGCAACCTGCCTCCACCCCAGCTCCTCCTTTTCAGGCTGTGTCTGACTTATAAATTTAATTTCTGTTTGTCACTGATGCTGCTCTGTTCTGGTCTGGGGGTCTTTGCTGCTGCTCTCCCCGCCTTAGGCTTTCCATGTGGATGCATGGAAGGGCAGGGAGGTTTGCTCTCTCTGTCTCAGGCTTTCCTCATTTGCACATGGAAGGGCAGAGAGGTGTGCTCTCTCCACACCTTTGGCTTTCCACGTAGGTGTGTGGAAGAGGCTTTCTGTGTAGTAGAAATACCACATATAATACTACAAATGGAAATAAAGTTTTCTTTGTCTAAAGTGTTCCCGACTAAACGATTCTTATTTTCAGGTTGATTTTTGACCACTGAAAACATAGTAATGAATATTATATACAATATCTGCCAAAACATGCCCCTAAATCCTACACACTGGACCTTTAAACTTTCTTGATTCATGTCCAGAAAATTGCTGAAAGAAAGGAATCTGCACTGTGATCAAATGTAAATGTCATTAAGATTGAACAATGTTTTGACTGACTTGAGTTCCTCTGCTCTCCATCAACAGTCCTGATTTGTGGATTGGCTGGCTTCTCTGACTTCTACAATGCTGATTGGCTGCAGCATATCCTCAGGCTGCAGGATGAGGAAGTGGGCTGCTTTGGGAGAGACAGTGAGTGTTTTTTTTACAGCAATTTAGTCGTAAAAATGACCTTGCCTTGTATCGATGCTTCACTCTCAAACTGTGTTCAGACTAATGCACATCTGGATTTTTTTCTTTTCGGTCTGTTTAGATCAGAGGTGATAATCTTCTTCCTAGCTTGTCTATTTATAGATACATGAGCTCCAAAACACATCTAATGTGGTTCATGTTTTTTTTTATCACACGTAAACCAAAAAAAAGTGTTTTACCAGGTGGCGTAAATGTAGACTTATTTGTTATTTAGCAGTCTGAGCACTCTGTTAACAGCCTGAACCAGAATACGATTATTAGCTGGATAAAATGGATTAAGAGTTTATCTCCTCTGCTGTGTTTTTTTCTCAGAGAGCATCATCTCTCAGATCATCGGAGACGAGCTGCTGGAACAGCTGCAGCCTCACAGGAGAGTAAAGAGGAGGGAGAAAATACTTCCAGGTCAGTTTGTGACTGATGAATCTAATATAATTTATAAGTCTGTCATCACACAGAGAGCTTTCACTGCTGAGAATCACAGTGTGTATCAACACTTTTGCTCCTGTATAATATTTTGGGACCCAATCACATACCAGTGCTCTCTTTTCCCCAGAATTTGAGTTTCACCTGTATCTCCATATTTAAAATCACTATACCACAAATGCAAATTTTTTTTATGTAACTTGAGGCAACTGGTAACTCACAGCAGAAGCAATGAATTTGACAGGACCTTAACCACAGACAAAAATATATGGTTGTTTGTAGTACTGAATGTACTCTTGAAACTATTTCTCTTCATTTATTTTATTGTCTTTTGTAATGTTTTATGTTTTTCATTTTTTTATTTGGTGTATTGTTTATGGAACAAAGTCTTACAGAGTCAAAACCAAATATCCCCACAGGCACATTCAAGTGTATTTTAATCAAAGCTGCCAAAAACATGCAAGTGTCCTAGTTAGTGTCAGCAAGTTGTGCAAAAATAACAAATGAATGAATGCTGAAGATGGACAGGAGTCAGTGAGCGTGTTTACATGCACACTAATAAACCGATCATTATCTGATTTCTGGAGTTACCTGACTATTCAAGTGGTCATGTAAACAGCATAATCCGATAGGCTTTATCAGATAAAAGCCATTATCTGATTATGAGAAATCAGATAAACACACCTAGCTTTTTCCCCAATAGTCAGATTATTCGGTGCATGTATACCCTTTAATCTGGTTTCTTTCGGGTTTTGCTATTTTATACTCCCACTCCACTACATTTTAGAGGGAAATATTGTACTTTCTACTCCACTACGTTATTCTGACAGCTTTTGTTTCCTTTCAGATAAAGATTTTACATAAAATAATATATTTTTATATTCTCTGTGTTTAAATTGTCACTTTTATTTTATCTTTATGCAGTTGTGACAAGTTTATATACAATACACTCGTATATTGCACTTTGCAGTACTTTTACTCCGAATCTACCCAAAGTATGTAAAATTGGCTCCACATTGATAAACTACACATTAGAATGCTCTCACATGTATTTGTTAGTGATAAAAACAAACAGTACTGTAAGAATATAAAAGCTGTCAGCATGATGAGTGCTTTTTTTTTTGCAAATATATGACTTGCATACTTTTCAAGGTTTTTCAAGGATATGAGTACCTACTGTAACAGGAAGTTTGAGTTTTATGTCATGTACTTGGGGAGAAATCCAACTGAAGGACTGAATTATGTAAACCAGGTTTTTCTGATTATCAGAGTACTGAAGTGCATGTAAACGCGTCAAATCGGATTATTACCATTACCTGATTATTCCCAGTTATCTGATTATTGTGCACATGTAACCATGCTCAGTGATTGCTGTTGCTGTGAGATGGGTTAGTTTGAATCAAGGTATTATAGCTCCTGTTTCTTCAATTCCAATTTTCCCTATTTTCTTTTAACTCCTCCATGGTTTGCACTTCTCTTTTTTCACTATCTGTACTATTACTTTTGAAAGCAGAGGTCCTTTTACTGCTAATACTTGTTGACTTTCAGCTAAGTAAAATTTTAAATGCAGAATTGTGACTTGTAAAGAATGTATTGGAGCATTTTATGACTGTGGTTTCTCTCTTCCTCCTCTGTTTCTGTCTCATCTCTCAGATGGCTGTTCCAGTCATATGACAGCAGTGGCTGTTGGTGCTCTGGGAGGATACCTTAACTACTACCTGACAGAACAGGACATAACAAAGAGGCCACTCTCCTGAACGTCCCGACCACCACCCACCCTCTTCGTGGGTGCATTGACACGAGCAAAATGTTGTAGATCATCAGACAGAGGTGCTCTTCACGGTTCGACTCCCGACACAATGTTACTTTATGAACATAAGTCGTAAGATGATGAAAATGCTTAATAAAACGCTGGAATGTGGGTGCTTGGCACAAAATGGAGATTTTCCTTCTACCTTTTTTTCTATATTGTATTCTATGATTATAATGAGGAAGATGCTTTACTCACTGTATGCTGAATCTGCTTTGCATCTAATTAATTCTAAATGAGATGTCTTTTGAAAGTAGCGATGCTCCAATCCAACAAAAACCATCAGAATATACTCCTCACAAATAACTTGAGCAGCTGAAAGAGTTAACGTGATCTCCAGGCAGCTCATGTTGCTGTCCATGTGGAGCTGGACATGGTTGCAGCTGTTGTCTCCAGATACAGTAATGTAGGCTGTTATTTGGCCTGTGATTCAACAAGCTAGCTAAAGAATTTAACTGTTTTTTTCTAAATGAAATCAGGGTAAGCCAATGGGTCGGACTTAGCTTTTTGACTCACAGCTTTTTAACCAGTTTTGTAAGTTATGGTCAAAGGGATACACAGTGATAGTGTTAACTGTGATGTAATCTCCTGGTTGGTAGTTTTTGACTGAATTTGACATTTCAGGCTGCTCTGTGATCATTCAGAGACAAAAAGTTTGCAGAGGATGGAGACCTGTCCAGAATTTAGGTGGAAAAGACACCTGTTGATTTTGGAGTATGACGAGATGTGATGAATTAAAGGAGAAATATTGTACAGTATCACCTGATTCTTATTCTAGTAATTGTGCATAAAATGGGAACGCTAGTCCCCAAATTCAGACATCAGAAAGGTGTTAGGTATTTCAGATGATGTTTAATGATCTGACAAGCAGTTTGTTTAAAGCATACTGATCTTTAGTAGTGGTTCTTTCAGGGTCTTTTCTGCAGGATCTGTCTGTAAACATGCTTATCAACAGGTTAATATTAGCAACCATTAAAAGCCTGATTGGAGCATCCCTATTTGAAAGGCCAATTAATATTTACTGTAGCCTTAAAGAAAAACTTCACAAGTTTTTTTTTTTTTTTTTTGTCCAAAAATAACATTTTTATTTTAAATTAAATTATGTTTTTTCTTCTTACAAACATTTTTTGACTAAATATAAAGCCAAAAGAGAGGGCCAGAAGGCAGCTGCACAACCAGCACTGACCAAGAGGATATATGCATGAACTATGAATGTCTGTAGATGAACTTACTGTACATACAGAATGTTATCATGTATTTCACGTTAGAAGAAAAAACAACCAATAAAAAAGTCTGCTGTATATAAACAAATGTTATTCTCTACAATAGTATATAAATAGTAGTTATTAATGTAAATAATCTCTGATCACATTACTGGCTGTAAGTGTCTGTCAAGTGGAGCTTTTGTCGGAGCAGGAGGCCTTATAACGTGAGAAAGAACACAAGCTGGTTATGTAAGATCTGTTGGAGCCATCATTCTGCCAAAACTGCCCCAGCTCAACTCAACATCAACATACAAGCTTCCCTTGGGATGTGTGTGTGTGTGTGTGTGTGTTGAGACAGAGGAAGGCAGAGTGAGTCCCAAAAGAAAGTCAAGAACTGGAAATAGTTTTGATTCCCAGAGATTTGAAGCATGCACAGCAGGCCTTAATGTGTGCCCAGTGTCTCTTGATTCCAGTCAATTCCAGTCCATTTTTCTCTATGTCAAAAACATTGACACAGAGAATAATCAGTGATTTTACTGATCTGGTAAAAACCTCACACATAACAGTGACACCTGTGTGATGACATCACTTGTTCCAGCCAATGACCTCGTAGAACAGCGCCTTGAGCAGTCGAGCCTCATAGGTGACGGTGTTCTTGCCAATGTGAATGCGGGTCTCCTCCAGAGGCTGCTCAATGATGGCGGGAACCTCCTTACCGTACGCTACAGGTGAGACAGATTAGTGTTAACTCAAACTAAACAACATATAAAGGTCTGCTAGCATCTACTTAAGGTGGAAACAGAGTCCTGCATTGGGGTGGGTACCCTGACTCGCAAAGGGTGATTTGTGTTTGGTATTTGTGCGGCGGATGATACATGTATTAAAATAATATAAGATACATTTTAATCCTCTGTCTGCTGACTTTGTGTGTCAGCTCTGTCTTCTGTGCCACTTGGATAATGAAAGCTGCATCAATCAGGTGTGTTAGTTAATTGTAAAGATGTGTTGCTCAGTATTATGAGAATTAAAAAAAAATATTACTATTACTACTATATTACTTTAATTTTAAAATATCTTAGTTTCAGGTGTATAAATCTCCCAAAATAATCACTTTTAACGTGCTGCCTAACCAAATAATTTGAACAGCACATGGTTATTGTAGGATTTGTGGTTTCAGTTTGGGCTGCAGATCTTGTGTGGATGGGTTGGGTTGGGTTGCATAACTAATTGGTCAGGTGGGGGCGGGCACGGCATTGCAAGTCACGATGTCTGTTTGGAAGTGGGTATTTAAAACCAGACCTGTGCAGGCCTCTAGGCTGAAATGTTGGTCACACCTTGCATTATAAAAAGGTTTCCTGGGGATTCTGCGGTTCTTAAAGCCTGACACACCAAACCAACGATCAGCCATCAGTCAAAGATTGGCCTTTGGGTGAGCATCTGCCACCCTCATCAGTTGCCCCTCGTAGCCCCGTCACCTTTTTTTGCATGATTCAACATGTTTAACATGCTGAATGTTGAATCAGCTTCAGCACAGTGGAGCTCGTTGGTGAGCTTGCTGAGTTCAGCTTAGCGCATGAGAAGTCATAAAAGAAGTCTCTGCAAATTTAATAAAAATTTAATCTGACCAGAATTTGACCAGATGACCAGATTTTTACATTTATTGCATGGAGGTGGAAACTGTGACCTGCTGGTGGTACAGGAGTAAAATTGATGAAATTAATGCATACTCTGAGAAAATCTGAGCAACATACCTTGGATGGACAAAATTTCAGTACATGCTGCTACGCCTGTCAATGTTGCTGTTCTTATCTTGCACATATGCAGTTTCAGTGATAACAGCGGCAGCTTTACGCCTCAAAATGCTGAGTCATTTCTGAAACAATGGGGCCTGGATTTCAGACAGAAGTAGGCAAAAGCAGATTTTCACTTACACTGTTATATTTGATCAACTGTAGCTAGTTAGCTAATTGAACATTAGCTTCATGAGTGGATGAAAAGGTTGTCTCCATCCGACTTTAGACTTCCAACTGACTTGTTTTAAAAGAGTATCCTTTAAAAGGTAAATAATATGCAAGCTGATGGCCTTGGAAGGTGTGCATGGTTACTACTATAGGAAGTTAGCTAGTTAGCTGGAAATAGTTACAGTTGCTGAACTATTTAGTTAATGGTCAAATATAACCTGATGGTGACACTAGGGGGAGCTCATGGGATCATGGGCTGCAAAATATGCATTCAAAAACAGAATGATAATAATTTAAAAACTGATGAGTGAAATAAGTTGTATTTAGAATCAGCACATCTATATGTCATTACTCAAAGTACTGATGGTGGAGATAATATCGGTACTGTTACTGCAGCAGTCCAGCATTTTGCAGGTGTGTGTGTGTGTGTGTGTGTGTGTGTGTGTGTGTGTGTGTGTGTGACTGCTGCTCACCCTCGCAGTGTTCCAGGAACTGGATACACTCCTGTACCACAGCGTCCCTCAGCATGACCATGTGTTTGGACATGTTCTCCAGCAGAGAGAGGAAACAGCGTTTGGCGTAGAACCATGTGTCCGTCCCCAGCTACACACACATCCAGACACACACAGTCTTTAATGTTCCTTGCTGTTGTACAAGAAGTTCTGGGATACATGTATTACAATACTTTAAATGTAAGTATCATTAATGTAAATAAAAGTGTTGCTAATGTTTTGCTTTAGTTGTAGTTATGGTTCGACTTTACAGGATGGTACGTGACAGTGACGTCTTCCTTCTGTTTGAAGGAATCAGAATTCAGACATGATAGTCAGGTTGGGAGAAGCTGGCGTGACTGTGTGGCTGCCAGGCTTCAAATTCCTGAACTCAGCTCTGCTTTTACCATGAATGTGACTGTGTGGTGGTGATTGTTGTGAGGATGAGAGGGGGAAACACTCAGGATGACGGCTTGTGTTCTCAGCTGGAGCTTAGTGGACTCAGCTGCAGCCAGAGTCCGGTGTTGTAACTGGATAAGATCAAAAGGTCCCAAAAAGAGCAGCTCAGCCTCAGAGAAGACCCTCAGCGAGAATCCTGGAGGGCCCAGGTTTATATTTTTGGTTCAAAACTTAATGCCTGTCTTTCAAATGTGACATTTTAATAATAAACACTCTCATAGTTATGTTTATGATCCACTGTCCATCATTGAGCCTGTGAAACAGTGAAAAGATGCCTGCTGCCATTTAAATATGCTTTGAATGTAACCTGTCATTTAAGCATTGCTACAAACTATCAGAAAACCCGGAGAACTAATAAATGGCTGACCTTTTTATTGTACGGCTCCAGGCTCTTGATGACACGAGAGATGCCAAAGTCGTAGTTCCCCTTGGCACAGTACAGTGTCCTGAAAGAAAACAAAACTTCAGACAAAGCAGTGATAAGAGGTAATTTTAATCAACATCTATTTCCTTTTTCTGTCTGCATGGTTTAGCCTGGAGATCCATTCTTGACTTTGGAAAAGATACAGAATATGTGAATATATACTCTAAACTCAAGTTTCTTCCTTCTTCTTATTCATCGAATAGAACTTGCTTATGTGTCACATGACCTGACTTAGTACCATACTCAGCTCAGTTGATGACACTGAGGCAAGGTGAATTTACTGAAAAAGACTGTGGAATATGGTTGACAGTTGCAGAAAAGGCTAGCAAGTGAACTTTGAGTCACAATATTTTATTACAGATTTGGATAGTTCTTTAAATGTAAGGTGCCTTTTGTTTTTTAATCCCTTTCAATAAGTCTGCTTGTATACATTTAACCTTATTGTCATTCCACCTTAAGTGGGCAAACCCAGTCATGTGATTGGCTGTTTGCTCATTCAGAACAAAGTATCACACAGTTTTAAAAAACATACTGGATTATTTTAATACTAGTTCATGGTTATATTACATATTTTGTATATATTTATTAAAATGACTTTCTACATTAAAGCTTACAGTAAAGATATATAGATGGACAGGTTGATAGTCTTAATTGTTTCAGGGGTAGAATTTGTTTTGAAAGCCAGGACACTAAAAACATATAAGGCATAATATGAACAAGTGGTCCTAAATTCATGAGGTTTCAGGAGCAGAAAAAAATGAGGTGCACAGAGCGATGCAAAATCAGATTATAAAAAGCTTCAGTCAAAACTCTCTGCTACTAAAAAAGTACAAGCAGGCCCTGAGTCAGTTTTCCAGCAGGATTAGTGAAAAGCAGCAGCCACAGCTGGAACTCACCCGATCACCAGGTTGACAATGCAGAGGTGGAAGACCTTCTTTTCGGGGTCGTCGTAGGAGATCTGCTCCTCCTCTTTCTCAATCTTTCTCATTAGCTCTTCAGCCTGTTTAAGGAGGAAACAGAGGAGAGACAAATTCATACCGTGTACTTCAGAAAAAAGTGACAAAAAAAATGACACAAGGCAGAAAAATGTTAATTAACCCTAAAAAAGTTCCCCCCATACAAACACACGAAGCAAAAACATCTACAGGCAACACATGAAAGTTAACTTATTTGCCTTAGCAAAGTTAGCAAAAGTACATGAGTATTATTCAGAACATACTTACAGTAAAGTATTACATGTAAAAGCAGTGCTGAAAAGTCGTATACAGATCCTATATTGAATTAAGTAACAACACACCTTACTAACACTCCATTACAGGTAAGAGCCCTGATTTTAAAATTTAACTTAAGTTAAAGGACAAAATCTTTTAGCAAAATGTACTTAAAGTTTTAAAATTAAAAGTAGTCATTATGCAGAATGGTATTATACTGTATTATATATCATGACAGTGAAAATAAATTTGATGATTTATCATGCTTTTTGCATACATTTATTATATTATCACATACTGTATATGATTATTTAACAACTGAAAACACTGAGCCAACTCTTTGCACAGTACCTCCTCATTCTGGCTGGTCAGGATGTAGGACACACATAGGTTGGCCAGGACCACAGCGCTCACATTCAGGATCTACAGTGAAACACACACACACACACACACACACACACACACACAGGCACGCACGCGCACACACACACACACACACACACACACACACACACACACACACACACTTTGGCTCATTTTGCAAAATATTTCCAGC